TCTGCTAGCAATCATAGTTTATGTCAACAATCAAATGGTTCATATGTGGCCTCATAACCTGGACATTTGATTTGCCCAGCCGTTCACTGTTTCTTTACTGTTACTAGGGCCATTTTAAGACACTGGTGGGCCTTAGAGGAAAATCGCATCCTATCTTTTCATTCCCCAAACACAAAAAAAGCATACTAACATCAAATAGAGAGACAAAGAGTAAAAGACACAGAGTTTGTAGTACTTCAAGTCACACACATGCACGTTAGGGCTTACACATATGCTTCTGTCTCTCTCCATTTGTCCCTTTCTCTCCGCAGTTGTGTGCTGGGTGGAAGATAAAAAAAATGCACCGCCATGAGCCTGGTCATGTAGTACCCGCTGCATTTATGTGCAAGGTTTCATGCACATGGGCAGTTTGGCTCAGCATCGCCAAATCACTGCAATTTTGGCACCTGGGAGTCACGGGTGCAGTGTTCAGCCCTGGTGCCAGCTGCTTGTTAAAATTTATGACAGGCTAGGGATGGGGTTGAACACACCGCACAGAGCAGTAGGACTGTATGCATTGACGGATGTTTGCCTTGAAAGCAGAATTCCTGCATTCAGGGCATACATTGGTGAGGGCTAGAGATGAGCGAAGTATTCAAAAATTCGATTCGGCTGATTCGGCGAATTCGAGGAATAAATTCGATTCGAGGCGAATATATTCGCTGCAAATTTAACTTTAAAAAGGGTGTTTCTAGGCTTCAGAGAGCCTTTATATTAGTGCAGAACACTGTACCTTTAATTTAAATGCCCTTGGAGTCTGCTGGGGAAGAGAAATAATACTGTCAGTCAGTATGACATGCAGATGAGTGCCGTCGATCTTAGAATCACCGCACACTTCACTCATTTGGGCAGTCACGGGGCCAAAACCAGTGTGGAGTGTGGAGCCACAGTGTGGCGGTGGAGGCAGCAGCAATGGGAGGCCATACAGCACCCTATGACAAAATGGAACCCACCAGCAGTGTGAGGAGACCTGAAAGTGGCACATGGCAGAGTGTGGCGATGGAGACAGCAGCAATGGGAGGCCGTACAGGGACCCATGAGACACTCTGGACCTGGCAGCAGCATGAGGAGGCGGTACGGGGGCCCATGGCAGATTACGGGCCTGGCAGCAGCAATGGGAGGCCCGTAATCTGCCAGCACCCTATGACAAAATGGAACCCACCAGCAGTGTGAGGAGACCTGAAAGTGGCACATGGCAGAGTGTGGCGATGGAGACAGCAGCAATGGGAGGCCGTACAGGGACCCATGAGAGACTCTGGACCTGGCAGCAGCATGAGGAGGCGGTACAGGGGCCCATGACAGATTACAGGCCTGGCAGCAGCATGAGGAGTCGGTACGGGGGCCCATGGCAGATTACGGGCCTGGCAGCAGCAATGGGAGGCCCGTAATCTGCCAGCACCCTATGACAAAATGGAACCCACCAGCAGTGTGAGGAGACCTGAAAGTGGCACATGGCAGAGTGTGGCGATGGAGACAGCAGCAATGGGAGGCCGTACAGGGACCCATGAGACACTCTGGACCTGGCAGCAGCATGAGAGGAGGCGGTACAGGGGCCCATGGCAGATTACGGGCCTGGCAGCAGCAATGGGAGGCCCGTAATCTGCCAGCACCCTATGACAAAATGGAACCCACCAGCAGTGTGAGGAGACCTGAAAGTGGCAAATGGCAGAGTGTGGCGATGGAGACAGCAGCAATGGGAGGCCGTACAGGGACCCATGAGACACTCTGGACCTGGCAGCAGCATGAGGAGGCGGTACAGGGGCCCATGGCAGATTACGGGCCTGGCAGCAGCAATGGGAGGCCCGTAATCTGCCAGCACCCTATGACAAAATGGAACCCACCAGCAGTGTGAGGAGACCTGAAAGTGGCACATGGCAGAGTGTGGCGATGGAGACAGCAGCAATGGGAGGCCGTACAGGGACCCATGAGACACTCTGGACCTGGCAGCAGCATGAGGAGGAGGTACAGGGGGCCCATGGCAGATTACGGGCCTGGCAGCAGCAATGGGAGGCCCGTAATCTGCCAGCACCCTATGACAAAATGGAACCCACCAGCAGTGTGAGGAGACCTGAAAGTGGCACATGGCAGAGTGTGGCGATGGAGACAGCAGCAATGGGAGGCCGTACAGGGACCCATGAGACACTCTGGACCTGGCAGCAGCATGAGGAGGCGGTACAGGGGCCCATGGCAGATTAACGGGCCTGGCAGCAGCAATGGGAGGCCCGTAATCTGCCAGCACCCTATGACAAAATGGAACCCACCAGCAGTGTGAGGAGACCTGAAAGTGGCACATGGCAGAGTGTGGCGATGGAGACAGCAGCAATGGGAGGCCGTACAGGGACCCATGAGAGACTCTGGACCTGGCAGCAGCATGAGGAGGCGATACAGGGGCCCATGACAGATTACGGGCCTGGCAGCAGCATGAGGAGTCAGTACGGGGGCCCATGGCAGATTACGGGCCTGGCAGCAGCAATGGGAGGCCCGTAATCTGCCAGCACCCTATGACAAAATGGAACCCACCAGCAGTGTGAGGAGACCTGAAAGTGGCACATGGCAGAGTGTGGCGATGGAGACAGCAGCAATGGGAGGCCGTACAGGGACCCATGACACACTCTGGACCTGGCAGCAGCATGAGGAGGCGGTACGGGGGCCCATGGCAGATTACGGGCCTGGCAGCAGCAATGGGAGGCCCGTAATCTGCCAGCACCCTATGACAAAATGGAACCCACCAGCAGTGTGAGGAGACCTGAAAGTGGCACATGGCTGAGTGTGGCGATGGAGACAGCAGCAATGGGAGGCCGTACAGGGACCCATGAGAGACTCTGGACCTGGCAGCAGCATGATGAGGAGGCGGTACAGGGGCCCATGACAGATTACGGGCCTGGCAGCAGCATGAGGAGTCGGTACGGGGGCCCATGGCAGATTACGGGCCTGGCAGCAGCAATGGGAGGCCCGTAATCTGCCAGCACCCTATGACAAAAAGGAACCCACCAGCAGTGTGAGGAGACCTGAAAGTGGCACATGGCAGAGTGTGGCGATGGAGACAGCAGCAATGGGAGGCCGTACAGGGACCCATGAGACACTCTGGACCTGGCAGCAGCATGAGGAGGCGGTACGGGGGCCCATGGCAGATTACGGGCCTGGCAGCAGCAATGGGAGGCCCGTAATCTGCCAGCACCCTATGACAAAATGGAACCCACCAGCAGTGTGAGGAGACCTGAAAGTGGCACATGGCAGAGTGTGGCGATGGAGACAGCAGCAATGGGAGGCCGTACAGGAACCCCATGACACACTCTGGACCTGGCAGCAGCATGAGGAGGCGTACAGGGGCCCATGACAGATTACGGGCCTGGCAGCAGCATGAGGAGTCGGTACGGGGGCCCATGGCAGATTACGGGCCTGGCAGCAGCAATGGGAGGCCCGTAATCTGCCAGCACCCTATGACAAAATGGAACCCAACCAGCAGTGTGAGGAGACCTGAAAGTGGCACATGGCAGAGTGTGGCGATGGAGACAGCAGCAATGGGAGGCCGTACAGGGACCCATGAGACACTCTGGACCTGGCAGCAGCATGAGGAGGCGGTACAGGGGCCCATGGCAGATTACGGGCCTGGCAGCAGCAATGGGAGGCCCGTAATCTGCCAGCACCCTATGACAAAATGGAACCCACCAGCAGTGTGAGGAGACCTGAAAGTGGCACAATGGCAGAGTGTGGCGATGGAGACAGCAGCAATGGGAGGCCGTACAGGGACCCATGAGAGACTCTGGACCTGGCAGCAGCATGAGGAGAGGCGGTACGGGGGCCCATGACAGATTACGGGCCTGGCAGCAGCAATGGGAGGCCCGTAATCTGCCAGCACCCTATGACAAAATGGAACCCACCAGCAGTGTGAGGAGACCTGAAAGTGGCACATGGCAGAGTGTGGCGATGGAGACAGCAGCAATGGGAGGCCGTACAGGGACCCATGAGAGACTCTGGACCTGGCAGCAGCATGAGGAGGCGGTACGGGGGCCCATGGCAGATTACGGGCCTGGCAGCAGCAATGGGAGGCCCGTAATCTGCCAGCACCCTATGACAAAATGGAACCCACCAGCAGTGAGGAGACCTGAAAGTGGCACATGGCAGAGTGTGGCGATGGAGACAGCAGCAATGGGAGGCCGTACAGGGACCCATGATGAGAGACTCTGGACCTGGCAGCAGCATGAGGAGGAGGCGGTACGGGGGCCCATGACAGATTACGGGCCTGGCAGCAGCAATGGGAGGCCCGTAATCTGCCAGCACCCTATGACAAAATGGAACCCACCAGCAGTGTGAGGAGGACCTGAAAGTGGCACATGGCAGAGTGTGGCGATGGAGACAGCAGCAATGGGAGGCCGTACAGGGACCCATGAGACACTCTGGACCTGGCAGCAGCATGAGGAGGCGGTACGGGGGCCCATGGCAGATTACGGGCCTGGCAGCAGCATGAGGAGATTACGGGGGCCCATGGCAGATTACGGGCCTGGCAGCAGCAATGGGAGGCCCGTAATCTGCCAGCACCCTATGACAAAATGGAACCACCAGCAGTGTGAGGAGACCTGAAAGTGGCACATGGCAGAGTGTGGCGATGGAGACAGCAGCAATGGGAGGCCGTACAGGGACCCATGAGACACTCTGGACCTGGCAGCAGCATGAGGAGGCGGTACAGGGGCCCATGGCAGATTACGGGCCTGGCAGCAGCAATGGGAGGCCCGTAATCTGCCAGCACCCTATGACAAAATGGAACCCACCAGCAGTGTGAGGAGACCTGAAAGTGGCACATGGCAGAGTGTGGCGATGGAGACAGCAGCAATGGGAGGCCGTACAGGGACCCATGAGAGACTCTGGACCTGGCAGCAGCATGAGGAGGCGGTACGGGGGCCCATGACAGATTACGGGCCTGGCAGCAGCAATGGGAGGCCCGTAATCTGCCAGCACCCTATGACAAAATGGAACCCACCAGCAGTGTGAGGAGACCTGAAAGTGGCACATGGCAGAGTGTGGCGATGGAGACAGCAGCAATGGGAGGCCGTACAGGGACCCATGAGAGACTCTGGACCTGGCAGCAGCATGAGGAGGCGGTACGGGCCATGGCAGATTACGGGGCCTGGCAGCAGCAATGGGAGGCCCGTAATCTGCCAGCACCCTATGACAAAATGGAACCCACCAGCAGTGTGAGGAGACCTGAAAGTGGCACATGGCAGAGTGTGGCGATGGAGACAGCAGCAATGGGAGGCCGTACAGGGACCCATGACAGACTCTGGACCTGGCAGCAGCATGAGGAGGCGGTACGGGGGCCCATGACAGATTACGGGCCTGGCAGCAGCAATGGGAGGCCCGTAATCTGCCAGCACCCTATGACAAAATGGAACCCACAGCAGTGTGAGGAGACCTGAAAGTGGCACATGGCAGAGTGTGGCGATGGAGACAGCAGCAATGGGAGGCCGTACAGGGACCCATATGAGAGACTCTGGACCTGGCAGCAGCATGAGGAGGCGGTACGGGGGCCCATGGCAGATTACGGGCCTGGCAGCAGCAATGGGAGGCCCGTAATCTGCCAGCACCCTATGACAAAATGGAACCCACCAGCAGTGTGAGGAGACCTGAAAGTGGCACATGGCAGAGTGTGGCGATGGAGACAGCAGCAATGGGAGGCCGTACAGGGACCCATGAGAGACTCTGGAACCTGGCAGCAGCATGAGGAGGCGGTACAGGGGCCCATGACAGATTACGGGCCTGGCAGCAGCAATGGGAGGCCCGTAATCTGCCAGTACCCTATGACAAAATGGAACACACCAGCAGTGTGAGGAGACCTGAAAGTGGCACATGGCAGAGTGTGGCGATGGAGACAGCAGCAATGGGAGGCCGTACAGGGACCCATGACAGATTACGGGCCTGATGTGAGACCTCTGGATTTGGCATGACCAAAAAATGAAAAGGCGGTAACGGTGGAACATGGCAAGAATTACGGGCCCTGGCAGCAGCATGTTGTGGAGGCCGTAATTCTGCCACACCCAATGACAAAATGGAACACCACTGCAGTGTGCGACACCTGGAAAGTGGCACCACGGCCTACCACTATGTTTGGGCGATGGAGCCAGCAGCAATGGGAGGCCGTACAGGATCCATGAGAGACCTGGACCTGGCAGCACCATGAGGAGCGACGGGCATGACAGATTTACATGGCCAGGCTATTTAGTCTCAGTTACGTGGGTGTCAGGGCAACTGGTTGGTTTTTTGAAATCCAGCACCCTATGACAAAATCCCACGTCATGCAGTCCTAAGAGAACTTGAAACTGGCACATGGGCAGAGTTAACATCTGGATTGCATGATTCATGGCGGATTTGATTCAGTTGTGTCAGGAAAGGTGGTGATTGAAATCCTCACTAATCCCACGCCTGAATTCCATTTTCTACAAAACGTAGCAGCTCTCTCCAACACTTTGCGGTGGACATCGAGTCCTCGCGGAGGGAGTTTTACAATTACCTCCTTTGCCGCACTAACTAAAACAAAAAGCGCATCCGATGCCACGCTACTGGCCGGGGCATGATTATTTTTTAGCCTTTCAAGGGCAAATTCAGCTAGTTTGGCGGCCAAAGGTCAAGTTTCGTTGCCCCAGTACAGTAGTAGTCAGGGGATTGTCTACCTCGGTTTGGCAGGGTGCGTCCAAATAGGCCCCAAGCCTGTGTGTTTGAGGTCCTCGGCTCTGCTCCGAGGTCCACCTGAATGCCGCTGCTGCCTAGGCTCGCGGGCTAGGGTTAGTAGTTTTCGCTCACTGCCTGCGCTGGTAAAGAAAGCTACTCAACATCGGACTGCAGACAGCAGGCAAGCCGCTGCTGAATTGGTTGGGTTGCTCGCCACAGCTTCCTACCACCCCTCCCCTCCCCTGCTGCAAAGCATGGGCAGCGGGAATGACGAGCCGCGAAAACAGCAGCCCACCGTAGTCCTGAGGATATGACGTTGGCGCAGAAAGGCAGAACCAACTGAC